GGACACTGGCTGGAGTGACCAGAAGCCTCACTTAGTGAGGAATCTTAGTTTTGCAGTATTTTTAAGACGTTCAGGAAAAATCGCTTTTCTTTTAAATATTCTCATGTAATCTTTTTTCCTGCTCACAATTAATGGTCATTCTGATGTCTACCAGATAGAGAGCAGACCAAGAAAACCAAAGAGTTATGACATCTGGTTTGCTCTTAAAACAGGAACACATTTCTAAGGTTGCCTTAGATACGAGCAGTACCACAATTAAAAGATATAGGTATATTCATGAAAAGACTACCGAAACCAGAAGCAAATCACAGAAATGACCCTACTTAGGACACCAGGAAATACAAAGGAGTGAAACTCCCAATTGCTAGAGACTATATTAATTTTGTGTCACCCAGAAATATTTGTGTAATAAAGTGAGTGGAAAATGTGACGATATTGCTGCTTCTCTTACATATCTTACAGACATGCAGAAACAAAGACAGAGCTTCTGTCCTTCCATTCCCTAAAGGAAAAAGGAAAAGGGAAAAGTCCTATCTTCTGAGTCAGACATGAACTCAGACAGAAAAAGCAATTTAGAGCCATTGAAACAGGCCCCTTTGGCCAAAGGCAGCTCTGCAAATCTTCTCTGACTTTACAGAACACGCACCAGCTCTCTATAACAAGTACATCGCTTCTGGAAAAATCTGACTGTATCAAACACCCGTGTTGATTTTGCAAAATATACAGAGGCCAGGCGCAATGGCTCACGCCTCTAATCCCAGCACTTTGGGAAGCCTAGGTGAAAGGATCGCCTGAGCCCGCGGCTTCAAGACCAGCCTGGACAACTTGGTAAGAACTCATCTCTACAATCAATCAAAAATAGCCAGGCATGGTGGTGTGTGCCTGTAATTCCAGCAACTTGGAAAGGTTGAGGCGGAAGGATCGCCGGAGCCCAGCCAGTCAAGGCTGCGATAGCCATGGGTGTGCCACTGTATTCCAGCCTGGGCCACAGAGTTAAGACTCCGACTCAAAAAAATAAAAATAAAAATAAATATTCTCACTTAAAAAAATACACAGAGAAGTCCAGGGCCTAAGCAAGCCTTGCCAGCCACACTGAAAGGAGGGCAGTCTGGACACCATCGTCTCCACATGAAAAGGAGCACCGACCAGACTCTCGTGACTTGTTTCTGCTATTTAAATTATACGTGTGTGTGTGTATATATATATATATATATATATGTATATATGTATGTAATTTTATATATGCAAAAAGTTATTTATATATGCAATTTTTTTCTTTTAGAGACTGGGTCTTACTCTTTCACCTAGGCTGGAGTGTAATGGCCCCATCATAGCACACTGTAGCCTCGAACTCCTGGGCTCAGGCAGTCCTCCTGTCTCAACCTCCCAAGCAGCTGAGACTATAGGCGCATGCCACCATGCATGGCTAAAAAAATTTTTGTTTGTTTTGAGTATAAGTCTCACTCTGTCACCCAGACTGGAGTGCAGTGGCATGCTCACATCACAGCCACTACAGCCTCAACCTACTGGTCTCAGGTGATACTTTTGCCTCTGCCCTCCTAGCTGCTGGAACTATAGGCGCACACCACCACGCCTGGCTAAATTTTTTATTTATTGTAGAGATAAGGTCTCACCAAGTTGCCCAGGCTGGTCTCAAACCCCTGGGCTCAGGCAATCCTCTTGTCTCCACCTCCCAAAGTGCTGGGATTATAGGTGTGAGCCACCCCCACCTGGCAAAATTTTTTTATTTTTTATAGAGACAAGGTTTCACTATGTTGCCTCGGCTGGTCTCGAACTCCTGGACTCAAGCTATCCTTCCACCTCAGCCTCCCCATGCCCTGATATTACAGGAGTGAGCCGCTGTACCTGGCCTATTTAAATCATATTAGATTACTCCATACCAATGTGTTCATTTGCAAATGATGCCTTTGTTTCCCTTCTAACATTGAACATTGTCATCACCTCTAGGAAAAGAAATTCTCAAGCTCAGAAGCACCAACACACTGTTTTCTACACATTCAGCCCTCATGTAACTTGGGGAGCTAATAGTGTTGACAAAACCCTTTCAAAACATAGAAAGTGAGGTCTAGAGTCAGGCCCATTAGTGAGTCAGTGGAGACATCTGGTCCTCCCTCCCACCAGGGACTTGCTTGGGCCACATGCTGGTAAGGTCCCAGCAACTGGATCTTGGCTCCAGGCTATCCAGAGAATGGGGCAGATGACAATCACCCCATGCCCCAACCCTGCATGTTCACACACACACACACACACACACACACACACACATACACACACACATACACACACACACCTTGCTGGATCTAGGCACCCAGCTGATAAGAGGCAGTGAAGATCTCCACCCTAGAAGAAGGAGATAGCATAAGCCTGAAGGGGTCTCCATTTTTGGCAGCAAATTAGTAGCAAGTTATACCAGGAAGCAAATGAGAACTTACCAGAAATATTGGTCCTACTGAAACCCACTGACCTGAATCAAAAGGGACTGACATCTGAAAGTTTCTCAGGCTTCATTGAGGTTTTCAGAAAGATGACCCAGAAGTCCAGTAATGTGTTGATGGTGACGATGACAATGATGATGACAATACAATAATGACATTGATGATGGGGGGAGGAGAAGGAAAGCAGCTAAACTTAATTAAGCACTTATCAAGGCATGGTTTTAGGAGCTTTGCATATATTAACTCACAACAACCATATGAACTCGGGACTATTTTTTTCCAGTTTCCATGTGAAAAAATGGAGAACCAAAGGTCAAATCCAGCCGGGCTCCGTGGCTCAGCCTGTAATCCCGTGCCTTTGGGAGGCTGAGGTGAGTGGATTGCCTGAGCCTGAGGGTTCGAGACCCGCCCGGGCAAGTTGGTGAGACCTCTACAATAAATCAAAAATTAGCCGGGCGTGGTAGCACGCGCCTGTAGTTCCAGCTACTCGGAAGGCTGAGGCGGAAGGATCGCCGGAGCCCAGCAGGTCCAGGCTGCGGTGGCCGGGAGCAGCCACTGCACTCCAGCCTGGGTGACAGAGTGAGACTCTGACTCAAAAAAAAAAAAACAAAAACAAAGGTCAAATCCTTGTCAGGGTCAATGAAAACGGTCCAGCTGGCCCCAGAGCCTGGCCCCAGAGCCTGACAATGTGGTGTGGCCCTTCAGATGCTCCTAGAAGAGTCCCGTTGCAGGCGATTATTTACATCTCCAGGCAGTTCTGGCATTTAATTCATCAGGGTAATCTCTATTCACAATTGCAATTCTGAGAATTTAAGGCACACATATGCATGTAGACAGTTATTTACTGGTGCGTGGTTATGGTTTGCGCAGGAAATAATCCACATGGCCATCCACAGATAACTAGTTCAATTCATTTCTGTGTGATCACACAGGGCACTAGTCTCTAAAGCCAACTCCTCGGCCCCGTGCCCTGCAGCCCTGCAAGCACATGGCTTAGCCAGTGGACGGCACCTTGTTTGGGAAAAAACCAAGCCCTTGCCTGTAAGTGGAAGCGGGGCACTTGCAGTAGCCACACACTATACATGGCAGCCCACACTCTATGGGCATGTGCCACCACACCCGGTTAATTTTTTTTTATTTTTTGTAGAGACAACGTCTTTCTATGTTGCCCAGGTTAGTCTCGAACTCCTGAGCTCAAGCAATCCTTCCATCTCAGCCTCCCAAAGTGCTGGGATTACAGGCCTGAGCCACCATGCCTGGCACCTCTGCTGTTCGTTCTGTTCATGCTTCAGCCCATAGACCTTGGGATTTATAGTCCACAGATGAGCCCCAAGCCGCTACTTGAACATATCATGACTTCCCACGATACCTAAGTGCCCTAAGTCTCAGAATCTCACTCAGCGAGACAGGAAAGATAATAATATTTACCCTTTGAGGTTATTTTGAGCCTTAAAATGAGATCATAATGTGAAAAGGCCTCAGAATTTTAAAGTATTCCACAGCAATATATCTTTTTAAGCAATAACTTTAAAGTGAACAAAATTTAGGCTGTCTTAGAAAATACAGAAAAACATTCCCGAGCAATATAGACGGTTAAAATACATAATTTGGGGATATCACATAATTGTATAACACTAACAATTCAAATGTTGTTAATAAATTTAAAAGTCATTATATATTGCCCTCTCATTTTTTGTTTTAGTCTCACGTGTACTTATAAATAGAATCTATCTTAATGGAAAATGGCTAATTTAACTCCTCTTTTACTTTAATTAAGACATCTTTAAAAATAAATTAGTTACATAAAAGACCTTTGAAAATGAAGTTGTCTTTTTAAAAAGGGTAATGTCACTTTCTTTTTAAAAAGGGTAAGAGTCACTTTTCAAAATGCTTTCCAGAAACTCAGCAGGGTTCAGATTAAATTAAATGAAAAACCCAGTGACAGCTCCCTGAAAATTTCACACAGCTTGATCAGACTATTTCCTGGGGCTGAGCACAGTGGTTCATACCTGCAATCCCAGTGCTTTGGGAGGTCAAGGCAGGAAGATTGCTTGAGCCCAGGAGTTCAAGGCCAGCCTGGGCAACAAAGAGACTCCGTTGCTACAAAAACTTTTTGTTTTGTTTTGTTTTGTTTTTTAATTTTTAATTTTGAGGACATGAGGTACAATTCAGGGCTAGGTATACAAATGTTCAAACTTTTTAAAATCAGCTGGGTGTGGTGGCTTGCTCCTAAGTCCCAGCAACTTGGGAGGCTGCGATGGAAGGATCACCTGAGCCCAGGTAGTGGAGGCTGTGATGAGCCGTGATCATGCCACCACACTCCAATCTGGGCAACAGAGCAAAAGCCTGCCTCTGGGGAAAAAA